TAACAATTATATTATATTATATTATATTATATTATATTATATTATATTATATTATATTATAGTCCCTACTATTTTGTGTGTGCATGTGTTGCATTTTTTAAAATAAAGCAAGGCAGTGTCTTTTTTCTGCAGGGCAATTCAAAGGGAGAGGCAGCTTCTGCTGTGTGTGTGCCTGATTTTTGAATTGTATATTTTGTATCAATAGCACAAAGAAGTCTGTGTCTAATTTATTATGTAGAGAGGTTTCTGAGCACAAAGGTGCCAAAGTTGGCAAACAGGAAGTAGAAGTATTGGCTGAGCTGAAATACTGACAAAGTTTTGTGGTAGAAATGTAATAGCACTCTGAGGAAAAGCAGATTTGTTGCAAAACACTTTCAGAAAAGTCTGTTTATGTCAGAGTCATTACCACAGACCTCCAGCACACAGATGCTCTGGATAATTAAACTTTATTGGCATCTTGACTTCCAGTCATGATTAACTTGCCCAATCTGACAAGACCTCGTGTTAGAGTTACTATCCTAGTCCCCATAATGAGAATTACCTCAAATTAATCATTCTGAACAGTAAAACTTAATATAATAAACACTGTCTGTGTTGTATCAAGTGATGTGAGAAGAAAAACAATAAGAACTTGTCCAGAACAGAGAGGACAGGGAAAGAGGGGGAGTGAATTATTTGCAGCACACACAAGCGTTTGACGTGCTTATTGGCTCTTGGTACACCCTGTTCCAGACAGACTCATCTGGAGTTTACATGTACGGTATCCTTGCTTTACTTCTGTAAACAGAGGAGCAGGGCATGTACTGGCATTCTGTTCTCTCTGGATGCAACAGGTTCACCATTGTATTGAGACATTGGTACAAACACAGAGAACTCATAGGAGAAAAGGCGGGTTTTGGAAGCACATAACGTTTTAAATGACACATGTAAACACACACTAATACGTAGGTTCCTTAGTAACATGTTCATTATTAATTAATCTATTCTTTTTCAGTGTAGTCAATTCATTGTTTATCATTTCAAAAGGTCAGAAAACACAGAGCCTTTAAATGGTATTCACCCCCTTGGAAGTTGTCATATTTTATTGTCTTACAACAGTGATATAAACGTATGTATATATACATACATAAATAAAATCCTAAAAATACACATATCCCGAAATGTTCAGGTTAAGACCCTGTTTGCAGTTTCAACTACTCCAAAATGCACCTGTTCTGCTCAACCACTTTCAGTCAAAGAGACAGCGCCGATGGCACAATAACCCCATTGTTCTTATTACACAAAGCAGGGAGTGGAAGAGTGCACCCTGGAAACTGTATCTGTATCTGTGAGTGCACATAATAATAATAATAATAATATTTATTTATAGAACACTTTTCAAAATCCATGTTACAAAGTGCTTCACAAAGGCAGAAAAAACAATACAGCAGTAAGGAATAGGAAAAGAAAAACATTTTGAAGTAAATAAAAGACAGCTCAAAGAAAACTAAAACTTC